TTTATTATTTATTTGTTTATTTATTTATTTTAATTTACATCCAGGGAGCAAGCCGCAGAGGCTTGCCACGACCTCCCAGGGGGTACTAGGAATGAACTATGCTAGTAGAGATGCTGATATAGCCATATATTCCGTTCTTCTATAACTGTAATATAGATTAGAGGAAAAACAGCCAGAAATACTATACACACTCCTACCACTTATCTTTTACTTATAATATCAATATTATTTAATCTATTTTATACTAGGTAGTTCAAATTTAAGGCTAATTATAGGGCTCTATATTGTTAGTTTTTATTTAATATAGTTTATATATAATGATAAAAAAGGGAAGTGATTTCAGAGGAAATATAATCCAATTAATAATATGAAAGTGGGAGATTAGAGAATTTCTGAAAAAACTAAATATAATTATTTAAAATGATTGATAATTATTAGAAAGATTATAAAATCTATTAGAATTTTTAGAAAAAAAGAAAAATAATTGATTATATTTTTTGTATCTTATAGAATTGAACTAGGTTTGTTTAGTTAATTATTGAATTGAATGTAAGAATATTAATAAAATATTAAGTATTCAGATTCTTTATTATATTTATAAAAGTATTCTAAAATGATATTATTGTATTGAAAATGCTAGTGATAGGATGTAAAATTTCTATATTCAATTTTAAGTATTACTAATTATTAAAGAATAGGACGGGGGAGGGTAAGTTCTTTAGGTTTTTTAATTTAATAGTTAAAGTATTAGTAATAATATTAATCAATAAGGGTAATCTTGTTTCATTTTTATTATCTTTGCTTTATCTTTTATCTAAAAGTTCTAATTGTTAAGCTTATATTATTAATAATGAGGAGTAATAAGTTGTTGTTTTTAATATGATTGTTATAGGCGTTTAGATTAATAAGCTAATTGATCTTCTTATTTCTAAAGATTCTAATATATTCAGGCAATTATTGAATTATTATTTGTCTATTCCTTATAATATTATAGTAATATGGGAACACTTATTAAAATGAATTAAAAGTATTACCTTTAATATATTAAATAATTAATATACTATTAATATATATAATGATTTGCTCGATTAATTCCAGTCGGACAATGCATTCCAAGTCTTTTGGAGTATTCATTACCTTAGCATTGAAAATATATAAAAGTAGATTGATTGTTCTATGATCGAATATTATTGAAAGTTGTTCCTAATAGATTGTATAATTATAATCAATTATCTTTTACCTTTAGTAATATTATTTAATATTATTTAAGAAGATTGTAATATAATTATTAAACAGATAATTTTATTATTATATGAATTTAAGTATAATTACTTCTTTTTTTATATTTTCTATAGGATTGATGTAGTTCTCTATAAAGAAGTATAATAAGGAGAGTATTAATTTCAATACTTTCAGAATCAATCTAATTAATTTATGAAGATTAATGTTATTCATTTTATATTAAAGTATTTATATTAAATAAATTATTAATGAATAGTTTTTATTTATTTTACAAAATTAAAGTATAAATCTTATTTATACTTATTTAAATACTAGCTTGGTGAATAATAATTTAGAATCTTTTAGGATTATTATAATCGAAATTATATATCAAATAAGTAAAACTTTTTCTACTATTAAAATAATTATTTAATTAATTTTAATAATATAACTATTTAATCTTATACTTATTATTATACTATAAATAGTTTCTCCTGCTTAATTTAAATTTATTCAGTCTATATACTATACCTCGAATTTATAAAGAATAGAGGATAAAATACAGATGATTATCGTTTTGTGTAGTATTATAAGCAATAGATTGTAATATATTTATACAAACCCTTTAATATACCTTACAACCTTACAGGCTTTCATTTCTCATTTTACTATATATCTTTTAAAAAAAAGCTTTTAATCAAATTAGACTTTCAGTTAGTATAGGGCTAGTGGAACAGCTTTATTGCCCATCTCACTAATCAAATAGATTATTACCTCATTGTTTATTTTTAGATATAGAATATACACCTCTCTTCTTTAAAAAAGGTATATCATTTCTAGCTTTTTCAATATAAATATTATACAATTTCTTTTATTTTATTGAAAGATTTAATAAAGATTATATTTGAGGAGATTAATATTCTTATATATATTCTTGGATATATAATAAATATAAATATTATTAGTATATTCGAAGTATAACTTAATATCTTAATTCAAAAGTTTAATAAAACATAAAATATATAGTATAGATAAGAATAAGAAGTTTTATGGGGTATTGTACTTAATGTGACTATACTTTATGGTTATATTTTCTAGCCGAATTCTTATTAAATAGTTGCTTAAAAAGGCTTGAATTAATTGTAGGAAAGAATGGGATTACTTTTATTAATATATATGTTTTAATAGTCTGTTTAACAAAAATGTATCAGATATACTTTATACACTTAATATAATCATTATAACTTTTTATTTATAAACAAAGGCCTCTTCAATATTATATATAAATAAAATGATTAGGTTCATTGTTGCTCATTTAAGAAGTGTTTTTTCATATTAAGGACTAAGTATACCTATTATTATTATAATTTATAAAATATATTAGACAATTATACATTTCAGATTCTTCAAGATATATAAAAGTAAAGCTATTAATTATCAAAATTGTACTAACAATTTATCTTTCTTTTTAATTTTAAGGATTATTATTACTTTTATATGTTTTTATTTATCTAGAAAGTAACTTAATTGTAAATATTGATTAAAGATCCCAGCGATTACTAGTCTAATAGATTCTTAGTAAACCTTTAGAAGGTAAACAGTGACCTAGTTAAGCCCTAATAAGGTGCTCGAAATTCCTATAACATTCTTTTCCATTTTTTCGAAAAACATTTCCATGTTTTATGGAAGTTTGTTAAATATGTAGTCTAATTGGAGTAGGTTTATTATAAAATTGTTGTTATTATTGAAATACTTAAGGACTTTTTTTTATAGAATCTAAATCTTTTAGTAATATTTTTAATTACTATATTATCAATAACTAGAGATGACACTCTAAGATTAATAATAAACTTATACTAGTTAATTATTTTATATAGATCTTTATTATAATTTATTTTATTAATAATTTTATACTAATATTAACATTTCGCTTTTCTAATTATAATTATTAATCTTCATCGTCAATATTCTGCCTAATTAATGCCTTTAGTTTTAGTTATTCTATAGTTTTGATATATCGTTTTGCATTTGCTTATTCATTAAGGGGTAGTGTAATTAAAAGCATCTTCTTTCTTTCCTATTAAGCAAATCGCCATTTCAAATAAAGAATTCAGTACTCCTACTAATTCATTAATCTACTCAAGAAACATATTAACTGAGCTTGGAAAATGAGGAACTTTATTCTTTATAATCTTTTGAAAAACTGAAAGATCTTTTTCACTAATTATATAATTAAAAAACTTAATAATAAATAAAATGAGATTCGAGATTATAATTACTTGTATTTTATAATTAAAACTATTTTTTAGATTATTAATAATAATAATATTAATAAAAGGGATATTAAAAAAAATCAGATTAATTATATAACCTATTTTATAAATAATGATTTCTAAAATTCTAATAAAGTTTATTTTATTCAAAAAAGATTATTCTATAAGAAAAGCTTTTTGGCTAGTTAAAGTTATATTAGGCTCAAATAGATCATATTTAATATTGAAATTATCATTTATTATTATATAATTAGGGAGTATTATAAAGATTATTAAATCCATTATCTTCTTAATATTTAATTATCAATATATATTGATTATTTATATATTATTTATTTTTATTTAAAAAAGATTTTAGTATAATTAGATATATTTTTATTGAATATATAGCTATTTACTTTTATATATATATATTATTATTTTTAATCTTTTCCTTTTTTTTAAAAAATTGTTTAGGTTATTCTAGCTATTTGTTAATATAAAAAGGTTATATTCTAAATAATTCTAAATCTAAATTCAAAAATATATAAAGAGTTTTTATATATATAAAATCTTCAAATCTTGTTTATATATTATTTATAATAATATAATATATACTTCTATCTTCTTCTATATATTTATTTAGTTAATTTATATGAATTGAATTGTAACCGTTTAACAATTAGTATTATAATATTAAAAGAAGTAATTACTCATTTAAATCAATATTGATATTTATATTAATATATTACAATAGTATAGCATTAAAGAATATCTTTTTATTCAAATTGTTCTTATTTAAACACTTCCTTTTAAAATGATAAAGGTTTTTGAACAAGTTATTAGTTAGGGAGATGTTTTAAGGAGTATATTAAAAACTATTTAGGTTTTTATATATAATAATATATTCTTTATAAATAAAAAGAAATATTTCTATTATTATATTTTGGAAAGTTATTACAACTAGAATAGCTATTTTGTTAACTAATACTTTAACAATTAAACAAGTTTTTCGACTGTATTTCTTAATCTTATAAACTTTAGATTTTATAAAGTACACAACTTTCCCATTAATTTGACATAATATTACAAAATAGCTATTATACTTAGCCAAAAACAATCCTATATAATTTACATATTCAATCTTAACCTTACATTTAAACTCAAATAAGCTATTAAAATTCATTTATAGAATATTATAATTATTACATCTTAGAGTACTCTTACATATTATTAAATTATAGAAATCCTAGCATTCTAAATTATAATAAATAATATGTTGCTTTAACTTAATATATCGAACTCATTTGAAGCTATTAAAAAATCTAAAGAAAAAAACTTTTCTTAATAAGCTAATAATTTAAATCTGCTTATAAAAGTTAATTATTTAAATAAAAATTCAATAATTAATTAGGGGAGTGCCTATTTATATTAACCCTAAGCCATCAACAAGGAAATCACGGCCTCAATACTCGAAAGCGCACCCGAACCCGTGCCGCAAAGACTACAGCAGTGCAAGTCGGCGGTATGAATGTTGCTGAGGGCCTGTCGGATCTGGAGGGTAGATTCGAAATGAATGAGAACAATCGGAATTCCCAAAACCCCACCAAGAGAAACAGACTCGCCAAAACCAAGTGCGTTTCTGTGCCACGAGTCGAGCAACGTTCGTATTGTATGTCTCGAGTAAGTGTGTCATTAGAAGAGATGAAGGCCATAGATCCTGACTATGATAAACATCCCTATAAAGCATTTTTCCCCGAAAATATGGAATGCTCTCAGCAAGCTGGGATGAAACAAATCTTGATGCTAACAAGAATGATTAATCTACTTAATGCGTGAGTTTCCTAGGGAAGTTCACATATATCATTACTAACTGAAATTAGACACCGTCAGAAGGCCAGAGAAGAAGAGAAGAAGAACTACACTGGCCGAAAAATTCCCCGAGACTTCAAGCTTCGACCCATCACGCACAAAGATTTTGAAGCCTTTAAAGTGGCACGAAGAAAGGAAGAGGAAACCAGATCCTATGAAAACAGGCAAAGGAGATTTGCGTAATCTAGAGCTTCAGATGCTCTTGGCGATGAATATTAATAAAATAGTAACTTAATAAAGCGTATCAAGTGATTTCCATCTACAAATTACCCACAAAGCGAGGCTACTGATGGTACTCAGACAATTTAGTATCATAGTAACTAAAAATGATATTTCGAATCATTCTATCATACATAAGCGGCTATCCACGACTTAGTATAGTAGTAAATGATCGTGTAATCCTGATGTTCCAGGAATCAGTCATAATTATGTCAAAGTCCCATTGAGTTTTTTCAAAGCTCATAAAATCACAAAAGATATCGTTGATACTACTTACCTATCTGAAGACAAAACTCCCATATACGAGCCGAATAAGCAGGGGGTGAATAGTAGCATGCGGATATTGAAAGAACCGCGCGTAGTAAGACATAATTAGTACATCCGCAATACCTCAGTGAACAGATGTCAATTATTCCGTTGGTTTTTCTAGATTCATGTAAATGTTTTTCAGTCTTCGATTCCTTTATCTTCTTTGCTGCAACAACAAGAATTCAAAAGTTCGTTGTAAAGTTATATGAGTAGCTTCGTAGCATCACATATATTTCTATCAAATCGCAACTAATTAGACGTGTTGACCAGGCTTCAATTAGCACCAGAGACCTCTACTGAACTCATGCACGCTCTATAATCTATCTGTATACTTTCTATTAACATCGCGAGTTTTTTTCCTGCAATTATTATAACATTCAAGGTGTGCAGATGCCAAAAAACTATCTAAAAGCCTGAAAATAAGTCACCCGCCCAGCCGACAGATTATCCGTAGATTATCTGTCGAGACCATCATCCGCCCCGGGGGTAACCGTTGCGCAGCTGAATTACTTCTAGGATTTTCTATCAATATCTGTCCTCTAGGTGCGCCTGAAAACAGTGAGAATGATGAAAATCTATCTCACAAAATCTATGATATGACCTTTACCTGAAATGAGATTTCCATCATGTGAGAAGTAGAGAGTTTGGGAACTTTCGTAAATTCGTCACACGCTCTTGATTTCAGAATAGACAAACCACGAAATGGAGAGGTATAAAGGCTCTTTATATATATATGGCCAAAGCATAAATTTTCAAGAAGGCATTTTCATTGTGGAGTATGCAATGTATAAAAAAGCTACTTCAAGGGGATAGTGGATAGATATTCAACAAGATGGAAACTTCAGGAAAAGTGCAATTGTCGCAACTCCTAGTTCTGTAGTCTAGGGCTGAACCATAGTTTCCCCTTCACTCGGTAGCATCAAAATATTCACTTGATATTTCCGTAAACAATCATGTTGATGATGTAATAACATGCAAACTATTATCAAGCATCGACCGTATAAGTCGTTGCTATACACCAAAGATCATATACGGTAGCTTTTCGGCGCGTTCGATGTAGCAATCATGGATAAATAATACACGCGTGATAGAAGTAACACCGCGAACCTATTCAATGCTGTATTGAACAATGTAGACAATGTGTACAGGCCTCTTTGGGCGATCGTCAATGATATCACGGTCATACAGTGACAGTACTAGAACTTCTAGTAACGGTTCTTGACGAGCATAGAAACAAAACAAAAGCACCGCATTCATACTGACTTCGACTTTCAAATAGCTTCATCATATCTCTGAGTTGATAAAGACTCAACACACTTTGAAAAAGGAACCAACATCATACCTGAAATAATATATACCATTACAGCTTTAACGATCTTTTCAACAATCATTTAACAGCTTTGTCAATGTCCGACTTTCTAGGCAAAGACGCAATGCCTCGACCAGAACAGTCACTCAGGACCATGCAGAAGGCTAACGGAAATGGTCTCGATAAATCAAAGAGAATCCCAGGATATATGCCTGAGCCTACACCTGCACCACCCCTTGCCGACGCAGAACTGGAAAGATACTCATCTTTGTTTGATTTCGATGTCGAGAAATTTTTAGATGGTGATTGGACGGGAGAATTAACCGATCACTTTGATCATGTCAACGCGATTAGTTCAAATCCAGAGCTAAATGCTTCCCCTTTTACGATCAATGAGCAATATCCGATTGTAACATCGTCCTCTTCTGCGAATGCGCCAAGCACTGAGCCAAATACCGCTGATACGCAACCAGTCGATAATCCAAATCTCGAAAACTTTAGATTGAGTCAAGAACAACAAGATGAATGCTTGAACATGTTGAATGAAACAAGTCCTGAGGAGATCAATCTATGGTGTGCTGATGCAGCGCCGACTCTAGCGAATCCTGATGGACTTTCCACACAAAATGTAGAAGAAAGATTTCCCAATTTCACCGAAGAAGATCAAGCGATAATGGAGTCATTTGGAACAGCTGTCGCTGAAGAAATCTCCGCGAAGCATTCAGCCCAGGATGAACTGAACATGACTTGTTCTCGAACTTTGCAGGCGTCTCCTACTCAAAATGCAGTGCTTCAATGTTCAGAGCAATTAGGCGGTATTAGTGATACAAATAGCCTCGAATTCCGAACTTCCAATCGCATTCAACCCAAGGTTATCGTCAAAACACAAAATGAATTGGACTTGTTGGTCGAATGGACTGAAAAGAAGTATTCATCGGGTATTCCGAACTTCAATACATACGATGAAACCTTTTTGTCAGCGCAAACCACACCTTTATCACTAATGAACCATACCGTAAGCAATGATCAGGGATCAAAATCTCAATCATCAATTAGGCTTCAGGAGTCAGCACCTGTTATGACTGTTCAGCGACCAAAATTTCGTCAGAATCAAGCCGGAGCCGCTCAGAATAGATTCGAGCATAATTCATTAGGTGGTCGAGGAGAATATGATGAGTATAGTCGGGTCACGCAAATGCAGAATGAAGATGATTTGATATATGCTCCACCACTGGATCAGTATCCTGATCTATCCCATGGAGAATTCGGCGCGACTGACGCCCCACAACCCTACCCTTGTCTTCAAGCATTTAGCAACAATAACCTCAGAGCCGCAATGGAAATGCAACAAGCAGGTAACGACCCTGCTGGTACAGAGAACAGAGTTGATAATACCAACGGTTTGGTAACTCAACGTAACAGAAATGACCAACGTGTTAAAACTAACCAAGGTTCAAGGAAACGAGCTAGCTGGGAAACGCGGCCTGATGCTGCTAGACCTAGAGTACGAATGACTGAGGAGGAATTTCAGTGGCTGCGACCCAATGCAGGACCACGTGATGTTTTTGAAACTCAGCGAAAGAAGGATGCGGAGGAGAGATTGAAGGAAGAGGGAGAGGCAGACGCACTTGAGAAGGCGGGGATGCCTAGGCCTCGACCCAAGCAGCAGAAGCCATTCAAGGGTGGTATCCATATCGAAGTGTGGGAGAAGGAAAGATTAAATGAGTAAGTCCTACAGTCATATCCATGTAATTCATTAATAAACATGTGCTAACTCTCATGCTTTAGTCGCCGTCGTGCCCAGGGAAAGTCAGGTCGTGATCTATTTATGGAAAAACCCAAGCTTCGCGGGAAGAGAAAGGGTCGCGAAATGTCGGAGGCAGAACCACAACCTGAGTCAAAGAAAATCAAGCCGTTCGAATTACAATCTGAGACTAGAGAGATGAATGAGGGATTGGCCCAGGCCGCATATGGCAGTTCGATCCCTGCAGTCGGATTCAATCGTGGGATGAGTATCTACCCATACCCCAATGCAAATCCTATGACCAGCCAGATGAACGAGGGAGTGACCAGCAGCGGCCCTATCCACCATAACTATATCAACAATTATGGCAACTGTTATGGCAATAGTTATGGGAATAGTTATGGGAATAGTTATGGGAATAATCATGGCAACAATAACTACACAGGCAATCATTATACAGACCCCTCTTTAGGAAATGGCCTGATGGGCTCTGGAATAGCACGAAACAGAGCCTTGGGCTCAATGCCTCCATTCAGTGCTGCTTATCCATCCATGGGCCAAGGCAGTCCCCCCGAATCTGACGGAGCACAGCAAACACGGGCTGCATACAGCCGTCACCGGCATCCCGAATCGTTCCATAGTCGACCAAAACAAAAGACTACAGCCATCTACGGTGAAAATAGTATTTCACCTCCACCGTACGCAGAATCAATCCGACAATTTACGGATTTCCAGCCTCAGCCCCCACAACGCCCAACTGCGCCAAGGAATGGAACCAGAACATCGGCAACTCAAGCTGTCATGAATCCTGCGAATTCACCATTAGTAAATGGTGGTAATGGCATTCTGCCTCATCTAGCTGGACAAAATGCGCAGGTCCTTAGATCTAATGATCATGTATACCATCCAAAGCAACCCAGAGGAATGCAATCGGTTTCCGATAGCTTGATTGATCCAATGCTACAAGCTTAAGCTTAGTTTCCAGTATCTAGTGTTATGAGCGCTCAAACCAGAGAGCATGCCCTCGACAACTACGAGTACGATGAGGCGTGAGATAAGGAGTTCGACGACCTTGGCATCCAGGAAAGAAAAGAGTACTGAGCCAGGAAGGATGGAGGTAATCCTAATGCACAATAGACTTCGGACTAAGAGACAATAAAGGTCTGATCAGATGCTTTGAAGGTGGCTCCTTGTTCCTCTTATTTCTGACTTTTCGGGTGATTTCACTTGATGATACTCAAGGAACTGCATGGTGGTCTGGTATTTTTGGGGGTGAGTTTGAGGACTTGTGGTTAAGGGAAGAATACCCATGAGTATTTTGAGTTTGCAACGCTTTCTTGCACTAACATTGTGGGCCTGTATTCTTACCAGGTCAATACAAATCATCAAATGATAGAATAAGATGCCTGCTGACCATTGAGATGATATCGTCAAGCCGGCATTAGGTTAGCCCAAGGTCCCAAGCCAGGGTACAGTGATCGTGAAAGTTTTCTTTGGTTAAATACAACCTTTCAGACTCATGACAACGAACAGTATGGAAATCTATGGCAAGTACCATCAGAAACATTTCTAAATAACGATGTTCATGCATCCTCAATTCGTCTTCTATTCAAGAGTCCTTAGCATAAACGGAACAGGACAGACGAGACCATTTTCATCAAGTATTTCTTACTTCAATATATACCATTGAACACTCATTGGGTTCAATCTATACGATTCGAACCTCTAGGAGAAACTTTCCAACCAAGCCTCAATACAAACTACCAATGGCACGCTGAAAATATTACCAAGCAGGCAAGAACATCTTCTCTCCAAATGCAAATCCGAAACTTCAAAGTATACACCTGTAGAACCACCTAGACCACACTTGGGACAGCAGCTTGACTTCAACTGTTCTACTTGAGATTTCACCTCAAATCTTTATTCCTGATTCTCGACAAAGATGGTGCATCCCGAACCTACATCTTGGCCATGTTCATTAATTTTCCTCTGTTGAGCCCAAAGTGGTTAATATCGACTGCTTTGCTGAAAGTTCGTATCAAGATCTACTGTCATAAAGTAGATATGGTGTATATAGAGAAATGGCAAACAGAAAAGACAAGACAAGAAACCGAAGTTGAAGTCGAAGTCGGTAAAACCTTTTGGACGATACCCAAGAACGTTTTCCTCTCGGACTTCCACCAAGCAAGGGATCATCGAAGTGGATGAAACAGGTCACAAAGATCTTTATCGTTTCAGAAGCCACCACTTACCTCGCTGCTCTCTGTTGATCAACGGCCCAAACGTCACCTCCGAAAACATGCTTGGTTTCTCTGATTCATCACCATAATTGTCTTCCCTTGCCTACGATCTGTATAACTTGATGACGAAATTCGTGGCATAGCAGAATTGTGGCAGGAAGGGTAATATTTTATTCAAGCAATGGCCTGACCGAAGATCATGGATGAGTTTAGAAGGCTATCCTACACCTCAACGACATATGCTTGATGCCAAAAGATGAAGCCTTTCTACCCTGTATGTCTTCAGGTTCAGCAACCACTTTGCAAACATATCCGTCTACAAATATGTCTTACATCCCCTCTTCGACCCCCATCCCACCTCTTCTCCTACCTGCTTCCCCGAACGACATTTGACCCTGACTTCAACTTCGACGCTTCCAGATTGTCGTATACCAGCACACCACTGTCCATTCCTTCCCTCAACCTTGCTGTTCTTTTTGATTCAGGGGAAACCATATACAGAGACATTATGTATTGATTCCCTGGTTGTTGTATCTATCTCTTAGTGGGGATCAAAAGGCTATGTATGGGTGGTGTGTTTGTGTGGCTAAAAACTGGTAGTTCGTGTTAAAATCTTCGAGGCTCTTTCGGCAATAGTACACAATAAGATTGGATATTCCGTGAGAGACTCATGGAGCTCAAGGCGGATTGGGTCAATAAGTTGTTGATCCTATCATTACAAATGTTGATGGCAAGCCTGAACTTTAACCGATATCCCTGTATTGTGCACAACCCTGTATCTTACACGCTTTAATTTATTGAATTAAAAATTGATTATAAATTCAAAACTATTTATAATAATATTGAAATAAATAAAAACACAAATTGAAGATTAATGAAATATAATAATCAGGTTTTAATGAATTTGAAATATTAAATAGAATATTAATTGATTTAAAAAATAATATTTTAAAATATTAATAATTTAATAAAAGTTTATATTAGAATGAATTTATATTATTAAAAATAAGTTTTTCGAATTGATTTATATTATTATTATTGAAAAGAAAGTTTGAAATTTTGAAAAATATCAAAAATTAAGTTTTAAATACAATTTCAAAAATATATATAATATTTAAAATAATAAAAAGAATTTAAAAATTCTTTTTAAATTTTTTAAAAATATTTCTTTATAGATTTTAAAAATCTGGAATTACTATTTGGATTTTAATTAGAAAATTAAACTTTTATATATTAGAAAATCTATAATATAATAATAATAAAATTATATAAAAATAATAAATAATTAAAAATCATAACTTATTATATTATAAATTAATATATAAAATGAAAAAAAAATAACATATTCTAATTTCTTAATGAATAAATCTGTTAGTTTTTCAAAAAAAATAAAAATATCATAAATCCATTTTTAAAAGATTTTTTTTTTTAAAAAAAGTCCTTAAATTTTATAATATTCCTAATAATTTTACAAATTAAATATAATTATAATTCAATATTATAATATATTCTTTTTTTTATTAATATTCAAATTAGTTCTATTTCTAATAAATTAAAAAAAAGTCTTTTTTAGAAATATCTTATTATTAATTATATAATCCTAATATTTAATTTTTATAATTTTTTTGATAATTGATTATATATATAACTATATTTAATAAAATATAGTTTTTTTAGTTTTTTAATTAAAATTAATCTATTAATAATATTATATAATTAAAAAAATTGAAAATTATTATAAAATACTTGATTTATAATTAATTTTTATTTTAAAAAAGATTATTTATAAAAACTTAAATAATATATTGATATAATATCAAATTTATAATATAAAAACTTAATTTTTTCAATTCTTTATATTAAAATATATTCAAATTTATAAAAAAAAAAAAATCAATTTTCGTTATTCCTATTCATAAATAAATTGATATACAATATTTTTATATTAATAATTTTAATTTTAATATTAAAATTATATTATATATAATCATTATTTTTATACTTTAATTACTTTATAAGAAATAAATAGTAATATAATATATTACTTATAATTATTAATAGAATTCAATAATTGATTGATTATATATTGAATTTAGAATATCTTTTTTAAAAGAAATAAAAGTGTGCACGATACAGGGGCGTGCACGATGTAGGGATATCGGTTACTGTGTGTGGGGGATCGAACGGGGATTGTTGATAAGATAGGCTGGTGGGCTATAGCTTGTGCTGAGTCACTAATACTTTTCCGTATACTTGTCCACTAAACATATTCAATTGTATTTATTAATTTAAATCTTTAATATCTTAAAGTAAAAATCGAACAATCTCTTGATCTATATATACTTAATAATAATAATAATTTTTTAATAGCATTATAAGTTAAGCTTTTCATATTTAGTATATTAATTATTTATTATAATATAAGCTTTAATTCTATTTCGTTACAAGGACATAGTTACTAAGACGGGGAAACCCTTGCTCTATAATGAGGGTTACTAGAGGATTAACAATGTAATTTATTCTAGTAATTTATATTGAATGATTAATTAGTCTATAGTAAGCGAAAAGGAATTTTATTATTGATAATATTAAAGTAAAGGTATTATGATAAGAAGATATGTAAGAGTTATAAGATTATAAAAGTTTAAATAAATAAGATAAATAGTTGAGTACATACTTAAATTTAATTAGAACATATGATTAGTTTTGAATAGATTTTAATATACTTATTACTTTATACTTATTTAGTAGCTCAGAATTTACTTAATATATCTCCTACTATACAACTCTAACATATTTCTTATATTAGCTTTCAAATTTATAAACAATATATTATTCAATATATTTTATATCAAACTAAAAGTAACGCTACTAGAAGCCTTTAGCTAATAGAGTTTATCTAGAATCATTTCCTACGTAACATTTTAAACTACTTATAATATACTCTTTAATTTCCATTTAATATTGTTGGGACAGGGATCATGTGACTACGCTAGCGTTGACGCTAGCGTCTTCCGACACTATAGCAATACGTTTTATAGCCCTAGCTTTTAGAACCTCAAGCAATATAACAACAGTGTGAACCATAGTACTATATTGACTTCACCATCCCCATGGTGATACCAACAAATATATTCTAATTAAGTCGAGTACTCGACTTTCTGACCACCCCTGTTTTAAGCTACTCTTTTATACTAAAAAGTGCTTTTTCAGCTTATTAATCTCTCTATTAAAATACGATATAATTTATCAAAAACATATATATATAATCTTCAGATTATTTTAAATTTATATTAATAATTTCAGATTTTTTGGAATTTTTCTAAATAAAGATTTAAAACTTTAAATATCGATTTATTGATGAATATAGAAATTATATAGAAATTTAAAATAAGTTTTGAATCTTTAATAACTGTTTAATTATAATTAATAAAGAAAACTATTTACTTGTTTGAAAGTTTTAAATTTGAATTTATATAAAAAAATTAAAAATTAAAATTAATAGTTGTAAAGATATAATTTAAAAGAAAATTGTAATCTCAAAAATATTTCTATAAATATTTGTTAATTGAAATTTTCCCTCATTCTTTTAAATCTTTTATATTATAAACAAAAAAAGTTTATAATAGAAATTTATAATTCAATTTTAATAATTTTAATTATAAAGTTATTATTAATTCGAGAAGGATATAAAAGACATAGTACTTATAAGATTCTTAGGTTCTAAATGTC